AGGACTGGCACTGCCTCCTTATTCAGACTCACTGGGGGGCAGGGGGAAGGCTTTGTAGCTTCAGCCTCAGTCAAGAATTGACCCTTGCATCCCGAAGGAGGGTTGCTCATGCCAGGGACTGGGAGTGTAAAGAGCAAAACTATAGAATCTAGAACACAGACGCTGCTGCTCTTGAATTGGCTAGCACATCCCACAGAGGTCAATGGGCGCGTACTTAATGGAAACTCATCTTGACTCTCATGCTATTAACGACAGAAAATAATCTGCCGCAATAAAGGGCACGCAAAAGCAAGCATGCAGACAGTGAATACAAGACAGTGTGGGGGGACCAAAGGGAAGCAGGAGACTCGGAAGGCTAAGGAGCCCAAACAGATGCCCAGGTTATGTGGGGCGTGTGTGTGAAATGCTTATTGGGAGGTAAAATATTCGTGATGTTTACGTGAGACTTAATACAGTTCCAAGTTGAATAACCACTTCTGTTACTGGCTCAGGTGAGACTTTAGTTTGTAACCTTCCCTGATGGCCCCAGTCAGCATTCTGACACGCAAAGCGGGCTACACGGATGCTTCTCAGAGAGTGGTTTGCACAGGACGAGTCCAGTCCCTGAAACCACGCGGTGAGAAGGCTCGCTGAGTGCGTTTTCTCGTCTGTGGAATCAGGTGGTGAGCGGTTTGAGCTTGTGCCTCCTGTGTCTGATGTTATGGCTGTTTTGGATGTTCATACTGTGATATTTTACGAAGTTATCAACCCGTGAGGACAGGGGGTAAAAAAGCCTTTGCCATAGTTTGGGGCATGCTGCTAACTTAGCCGGCTTCTATTCTGACTGTGTGTTCCGCAAGTATTGGTGCACAGGCGTGCTCACTTCAAAAGCCCGTGTCCGGAGAGGAAGGCCGAGATGAAAGTTAGTCCCATGGTGATTGCTTAAAAGAGGTTTTAAAGAGTGCAGCATCTGCTTCCTACGCTGTCTGCTGAGCAAGCTCTGTAGCATTGGGGGGAACAATGAACATTATTAAACCAGAGGGTCTGAGAAAGTGGTCAGTATTTAATAATACCTTTGTGGAGACTCTCCATTTCCGTACCCCTAGGCCCCACAGAAGATGTTATTGGGGAGGAAACTTCATTTGATACCATTTAAAACTGGAGATACTAATATTTAGCCTATAATGAACACTCTCTCTTTCTGGGTATAAATTTGCTTTACTACTTTTTTAGCAATCCATAATAATCTTTTGGCAATAGTACCTTTTTCCTTCCTGTTTTCTATACTACTATTCTATACTTCTATTCTTCCTTCTCTGCATCTGTGCTGGGTTGTTGGGAGTTAGACAATTATGCGCTTAAAGTTTTATTAACTGGAAACGGAATAGAATGTTGCTTGCTAAGTATGCCATGGAAGATGCATGTAAATTCACATTTGTATGTCTATGAGTAGAGATGAACATATGGCTTATATTTTCCAGTGCCAGTCTTAGGAATTTTTGGGAAGGATTATTTGTATACATCTGCAATAACATGATAAAAAAGAAACAATAGAAAATGTGAAAGTAATCAAGGTGGGAACATTAGTTTTTAAAATAAGAGCTACTTGATTCCAAGTTAATGCGCGAATGCAGAACCCTTACCTTGACGTGAGGAGACCTGTGAACACGGGGACTCGGCCCTTCCCCGGGCCAGGAGAGCCTCGTGGGGCTACTTTTTATTTCCGGTCGGACAGGTTTTCCCGTTAATGCTCCGATTACCTCCAGCAGCGTTCCCGGCTCCCAGACCAGCTAATCATCAGAATGGCCTGGGGAGCTACAGCGGGAACACCTGTGGGGGTGGGGCTTGCTCAGCCCCCCCCCGTTTAAATCCTCCACAGGTGATTGTAATGAACAGTGTGCTTAGGGAAGCACTTGTGTGGAGGTGATAGTCCGGAAAGAGAGAAAAACTAACTTAACATTTTCATAAGCATCCTAACTCCAGGAGGAATTTCCATTCCCACTCAAAGGTCCTACTCTGTGGCATCCCCTGAAACGTTGGGCCGAGTCAGGCGGGATGTGCCGTGCGTGGGTCCCTTTGGGAATCTCCTGAAGGGCGAGGGCGCGGTTTTCTTGCACTGCCCCCTCCCACGCGGTGACTGCCTTGCTCTGCGCTGGGGGACTGGGACTCGGACGAGTACACTGGCCTTCCCCAGAGAAGGCGAGGCTAGCGAAACGAACGGAGCGGTAGCCGGAGGTGGCGCAAAGGTCTCCCACGCCAGAGGCTGGTGGCTTGGAGAAGTCCTCCGCAGTGGGGGATGGGTGGGGCTCTGTGCGCGCTCAGCACGTGGTGACCTCAGGAGCGGGGCAGAGAATGATGAGAACCCTGGAAGGTTATCCACTGAATGGACTTCAGGAAAAAGCACATTTTAAGAGCAACCATTGACCCTTGAACAGCATAGTTTTGAACTACATGCGAGTACCTGCATGCCGATTATTTTTTAGTAAATACTTCTGCTGTTTTCCATCTGCTGTTGTCGGCGGATGCCGAGGACTGACGGTATGCATCGACCTGCATCGTGGATGTGCTGCGGGGGAACCCTGGACCCCCATCCTCTGTGCATCCTGCAGGAGGACTCCCGTTTGTGGGGAGTCAAAGTGACATCCAGATGCTCTACCTCACAGCGGTGGGCGCCCCTGGCCTCCCCCCAACACTGATCAACAGTCAACTGAACTCGACCTTGAAAGACGTCTAGGGAAGGATTCTCAAACTCATACAAATACTCCTCTGAGTGCCCATGCACAATTGTCATTATTTAAAAAGCCAATAATTTAGGCCCTGGTTGGCACAGCTCAGTGGATTGAGCGCGGGCTGCGAACCAGGCATTGCAGGTTCGATTCCCAGTCAGGGCACATGCCTAGGTTGTAGGCCATGGCCCCCAGCAACCGCACATTGATGTTTCTCTCTCTCTTTCTCCTTCCCTTCCCTCTCTAAAAATAAATAAATAAAATCTTTAAAAAAAGCACACAATTTAAAAAGCACTCAATCCTGGTGAATTACATATGTAAAACATTAACTAATTGAGGCAATAATTTTAAGAATGCAAATATAATTACTAAAACAAACGTAATTTCATATAATTGTTCTATTTGAGAAATAAAAATTTTCAAGGTCTGGGCTTAATGTTTTGAATGAAATGGCAGTGTTAAACTAAGCAATATTTTTCATTATTTAAATTTTTGGTAAGTTGTTGCTCCTAAGGACAAAATTAATTATTGCACCGCCTGATGCTGCCGTATTTGGCAATGAACAATTGTGCTCTTTCATGAAAGAAAAGGCTGTTTTGCCAGGTCTTAGACCCAGTTTAGGGCACCGGGAAGGGTGAAAGAATTGCACAGCTACCAAAAGCACTCTAAAAATACCAGAGACAGCCAGAGAGGTATATTTTGCAAGTGTCTCCTTTTTCTATTTTGCTAGGACTGTACCTTTAAAAGCTCGCCTTCATCTGTTGTACCCACCCCTAACCCATGGGACTAATCAATTCTCAGAGAGGTGTAGAATGATAGAACAGATCACTCCCTGGCGAAAACCCGTCATTCAGCTTTTCTGGCGTTCCTTCATCTGAATGGGTTAGCCCCGCTCCCTGACGTGATTCTGGGGATCTGCCTCTGTTCCCACAAACAGGCTGTTTAAACCCCTGGGTGATCTCCCCGGAGGTTCCCCAACACGGAATTACACAGCGGATTCAGCAATTCCCCCCCGCTCATTGTACTTCTCAGGGGCCCACCCAGGCCACAGGACTTGCTTTGGGCAACCGTTTATGAGTCGCAGGTCCTACACCCCCGCGGGCGCTGCGCTATGTGTAGTCTTCCCCTTGCTACACAGGGACGGTGGAGACCCCAAACACTGGACTCCCGAGTGAGGAGACAGGGCCAGGGCCCGCACGCATCGTTGACCCCATATTCATTTACTGCACACACAGTCTGCGCCAGATGGTTTAAAGAGTGGATGGGCTCTACAGAGAAGCCTGGGTGTTTTCTGAAGCTTTTGCGGCTGTGCATTGCATGTTGAGGCACCAGGGACCCTGGGCAGAGCAGAGTGGCGGGGCTTGCCAGGGGCCCCGCACTGAGCAGAAGATGACACCAGGAAAACGGGGCTTGCCCAAGGCAGAGAGAGCTGGGGGCCAGCCAGCAGCATGTCCGGGCCTGTCACCGGGTCCGGCGGCAGGCTCCCTAGCAGGGCGGTGCTCGCACGGGGCTGCAGGCAGCTCCTCCGTGCCTTCTTCCTATGTGGTGCGTAGTAGGTCTAAGGTTATGCCCACTCGGTTGGTACCGCCCTACAAACAAAACTTTTGGATATTCAAGGGACCTAGCAGGGTTCCAGTGAGTGCAGGAGAAGCTGGGCGTGGGACGGGGAGAATCGTGCCCCCTCACCCACGAGTGTTCAAAAGCAGCCCCGTCTTCCAGCCTTTCCTGCACCGGCTCATTCAGTCATTCACCCCCTCAGCAGAGAGCTGTCTGCTCGCCAGGTATTGTTTGCATGCCGGGGATGCAGCAGCGACCAAAGTGGCAGATTGCTTGCCGGCGTGATTTTACGTGCTAGTGGAGAGAGAGAGCGAACACATGTGTAGTGTAACAGGCAGGGAGACTGTGCTGGAGAATTGGGAAGGGTGCGTGGGACGGAGTGAGGCAGAGGCCAGTTCTTTCCGAGCACAGTGGGGGAGGGCCCTTGAAGATGGAAGCGTTTGGACAGAGGTAGGAAGGACACAGGAGGGACGCCTGTTCGGAGACTCGGAAGAAGAATTTAAGACTGAGGGGCTCTCTGGGCAATGACCTGAATCAGACGCATGCTGTCCAAGGGCAGCGAGGACAGGGCCATCCCTGTGGCTGGAGGCGGGGAGGGGTGTCCTGGGATCCCTGTGAAGAGGTCACCCACAGCTCGGGACCCACGGGCCCTGGGGAGGCTCGGGCTCACCCTCGGTGCGCCGGGGAGCTGCCGAGGCCTCGAAACACAGAATGACGTGGCCTGACTTGCGCCTGCAGAGACACGCCGCTCCTGATGTTGGCAGAAGAGACCCCAGGAGGCGAGGGGAGGTGTGGAAATCAAGTTCAAAGTCATTTCTCCTCAGAACGTCAAAGCCATGCTCTGCTGCAGGTTAGTGTTCTCTTTTGCTGGTAAATTTTGTATGTGTTATTTTCATTCTTTCATTTGGGAAGATTTTCTTCATTACCGACAGGCTTTTAGGATCCTGTCCCTGTTCTTCGGGTCTAAAACGTCACGATGCATTCTGGGTAAGGACGTGCTTGTGCTGAAAATGTATCTCGCGTAGCACTTGGTGCAGCTTTTCATTTTAAAGACGTGTGTCTCTTTTCAGCTCCTGGAACTTTGTTCTGTTATTTCATTGAAAAAATCCTTCCTCTTATTTCTTTGGTTCTTCCTAGACATTGTATTAAAATATTTAACTTCTTGCTTTAACACTCTGTGCCTTTTTTTCTTGGTACAGAGTTCAGAGTGTCTTTGTATCTCGGTCTCTATCCAAAGCAGGAAACCCAAGGTGGAGTAAGAAGACTGTGAGTCTCAGGCGAAGGCAGGAGGTTCCATACTTTTGTGCGTGTGAAATTTGCTAAGACTGTTCCAATGTGCTTACTAAAGATGGTCCTCAGAAACGTGTACCAGTATGCTTCTTTCTGAGCCCAAATTTATATTCTTTTTTCTCCTAATTTTTAAATATCATTTCAGTGGGATATCAGAAAATAAGGGACACATTTGTAAATCTAACCCATTTTAAAGATCTTATTCCCTGCGAACCAAAGTGTTGCAGGTTTGATTCCCAGCCAGGGCACATGCCTGGGTTGCAGGCCATGACCCCCAGCAACTGCACGTTGATGTTTCTCTCTCTCTCTCTCTATCTCCCTCCCTTCCTGCTCTAAAAATAAATAAATAAAATCTTAAAAAAAAAGATCTTATTCCCTCTAAGAGAGAAGAAAATAGGTGTTTGCTCAGTCATTTCAGACTGTTCAGGTAATACCACAACTTCTTTTGACTAAAGCCACCCCTGAACACCTCCCCCATGTCTCGTAACCTTGAACCCCTCAGTGGTGTAAAAGAATTGCTTCACCAATAGCTCCTTCTGGACGCCAACTCCATTAAAATCCTTTGATGTAAATGGCAAACTGCAGGATTACCCTAGAAGGCTGTGTTCTCTGGGATTTGCATATGGGCTTGACTTTGTGAGTTCAAGTATGAGCTATAGAGATCATCATTTATCCACCGCTTTCTTAAAAAGGAGCATTCTCAAAACAGTGCATTGATAAATTTTGAATAGTACATAGACTTTTAAAGTAAATGCAGACATACAGCCACATCAAGGACAGTTTTTTGAAAATAAACTAAGCTTAAGCATGTAGATCCGTACTGCTACATGCACGTGCAAGCCGTAGTTATTTCGTCAGTGCTGTTTATAACATGTGGGCACGGACATGCAGCACTTTATTGACGATGCCGTCGGATCCCTGGCAATTTGGTTCTAGAGAAAGTAAACAGATTAACTCGCCAAGAATCCCCAGCCTGTAAGAGAGCACGTGTTTTAAGTATGTGAAGCGTGATCAATATGGCCCTCACCTCCTGCAGAGAAGTCAATGAATGACGTGAGAGAATTTACTGTTATAACTTGAAGAAGAAAAATACCAGAGACAGGCATTACAGGCTAAGAGAGCTTAAAAATGACACCAATTTTCTCTTCCCAGTTATAAAAACAAACTACTGCCTGATCTCCGAATGCCCAGGTGGGTTTTAAGTCAGCTAATAAAATTATCTACATAATGAAATTGACTCTTAGTACCAGAGGTTCTGTAGGATGCGATAGCCTATAAAGTGTGTCCCCTTTTCCCGAACTATGTAAAAGGAGACTAGTAGATGTTTTTTCCATGCTAAAAACTTTTCCCTATCTGGGTAGAATTAATGTTGCTTTAAGAATGATCCTGACATATTCCTGAGAGGTAATTTCAGAAAACTTTGCAAGCAGTGATACTATAAATGCGTAAAACTCTAGATCTCTTTTGTTACGTTGCTTCCTTATTCTCATAAACATGGTGCATGGTTTAAAGCAGTGATTTTGACCAGTGAGCCGGGGAAATTTTTAAGGCATGCAATACCTGACTGTTTAGTCAGGGGCACTGACCTCTTTTCCTTTAGATTGTCAAATTTAAAAAGATGACAACAGCCAACACAACAAGAGCTGCCCAGTATAAATGCGTCAAAATTATACCTATTTTTGTCATATCAGCAAAACTATATTTCCTGGTGTGCCACAGAATTTTAGTAATTGGTCTGTGTGTGCCCTGAGATGAAGAAGGTGAGAGCTTTAAGATACGGCTCTATCCTCTACCCCGCTCCTAACACCAGCGTTTCCCCCCTCAAATGGCCAGTTTACTAATTTCTCCTCTGACCACGTCATACACCTATGTGCGTGTCCCCGAGTATTCGGCGTTTATCTCTGCCGGATAAAGAGGAACTGGGGTGGTGGCCACAGACTTAGGTGCCTTCAAGAACCTTGGCAACAAACTAAAGAAGTGAACCCGCCGGGGTGGGTGGTCCTGGGGATGGGCTTTCATGAGAGCCCCCAGCCTCTGCGGTGTCTGCGGCCCCGCCACCCCCAGCTCCCACCTGTGGCCATGCCTGCCGGGGTCCTGGTGTGTCCAGTTGGGTTGTATCAGTTCTAAAGGCAAGTCGGAAGCTTTTTCAGGTGTATAGTCGGGTGTTTTCCAGTAACGCGTCTGTTCAGTCTGTCAACCGAAAGCCTGGTCCTGCCATCTTAGTTCTTACTCGGGGCTGGGCGGTGCACAGTCTCAGAAAGTAGACGGTGCAGCCAAAGCCGCCCTGCAGGGGGACAGTCCCATCGGGGAACAGTGACCAGCCTCAGGGGCCCTCCCGTGCAGCGTTGCCTAGTGTGGTGGCTGTGAGCTCCAGGTGGCTGTTTAAAATTAAACTAGTTCAAGGGAAATACAGTAAGAATTCTGTCCCTCGGGTTCACTAGCCACATTTCAAGTGCTCCACGGCCACACGTGGCTACTGGCTACCTCTGTGCTGCCCAAGTGAACGTGGCCCTCGACGACGGAGTCCCGTGGCCAGTGCTGCTCTGTCCAGGGCCGTGCTCGGTGTGGATGAGTGGACGGTGCAGCCGGGACAGCTGGTCACTGGACCAGGGAGAGCAGGTGGAAGGACACTGCCGTGGAGCCCCAGGAGAGAGGGACCTGGGTCGTTCATGTCTGTGCTCTCTCTCGATGAACTGACTCAGAAAACGGGGAGCGGCTGAGCCCGCGTGGCCGTGACGGCTGAGGAGCCGACTGCGTGGAGCGGGAGCTCGGCTCAGACGTTGTCAGAAAGACAACAAAACAGAGAAGCACCAGACGGAGGCTTGCAGACGTCCCTGCCTTTTGTGCGTGTGTTTTGAGCTGATGATAAAAATAATATATGAGCCCCGAGGACTATTCGAGAAGCATAACAACTTCCTTGCCTTCTTAGGCAGAAATACTAATTGTACTGTATTTCCTCCCTAATGACTCTGAGTCATCATTATTGAATTATAGAAGAATGCATCTGAAAGGGAATAGAGAGCAATGTTCTCCCAGACGACCGGGCTATTCAGAGACCTGATGCGCACATCTCTCCCTGTATCAGGTGCCTCCGCCGCGTAATTTTCTCCTCGCCCTTCTTTTACCCTCCTATCTCGTCGTCATCTGTACCCTGACGTGTCTGCTTCCGGCAGTCCCCCCGTGGCTCCTGTAAGGTCACCCGCAGCAAAGCACGTTAGCCGCGACCGGATAATAAAACTGGCCCAGCGAAGCGTCAGCCTTGCTATGCAAATGCCTGTGGCCTGCTCTGCTACTGGGCAGCATACATGAATATTATCTCAGACAGTTCCTCACGCATCCCGTCCTGCCTTCCCCTCGGAAAGTCTCAGTCGGGGACAGTTGACCAGTTTGGCCCTGAAATGATAGAATAGATTTTAGTTTCGTTGAAAGAAAAGCGATATATTTGGTCTAGCAACACTGTCTTCCAAATGACTGTCATGAAATGGAATTCCTGCAGAGGTGGCTCTCTGGGGCGACCTGCCCCACGCAGTGAGTTCTCTTCTCTAGGGCCTCTGGGGCCTCCCAGGCAGCGCTGTGCCACGGGTGGGGGTTGGCGGGGGGGATGGAGCTCCTGCCGGCGTGTCTTCAGGACTGACCGCCAGGGCTCAGGTTGGCTGGAGCGGCAGAGCTGCTGCAGTGCGTCTGGGACAGGTGGCCTCAGAAGTCACTTTCATTTTGCGGATTTTAAGGTAGCCGCCCACAAATCAACAGAGCAAACCTGCATGCGTTGGAAAGTAGCTAATGCTGGCCGGTATTTCCTAGTCTCTTTTTCTTCTTAAGGTATGTGTTCCTGCCCAATGCAAGTACCATGGTTAAAGATACATAGTTGGCAAAATCCAGAATAATTCAGATTACAGTGCACCCACAGGATTTACATGCTAATTTAGCACTAATATGTGTTTAAATCTTAATAAAAATTATTTGGGTTATTTAGGAAATCCTGGAGGGAAAGCAGAAACCTAAACAACCTCGTGAAATAAAGCCTTATGAGGGGGCGCCGGAAGGAAGGGCTGAGGCAGCAGAGCGGGAGGAATAGGCCTCACGGGAACCCAGCCGGTCCGGCAGTGTGTGCCGTGTGCCTTGGGCGCTGGGCTGTGTCTGAGTCTGGGAAGCGGGCAAGAGCTGGGTTGGCTGAGTCAGCACTTACGTAAGTGCCCTGCCTTAAGTGTTCGCTGTCTCTCTCCCTAACAATGCATCCCGAGTTTCCAAGCCATGACAATGCAGGCATTGTTATTATGGCATACTATATAATTTTTGAAGAACCAGCTGAGCTCTCAGATGGGGCATGCCTGGTTCAGAACATCTGAATATCTCACTTGCCTGACCTTGACTGAACCGCGTCTTCCCATGACCCTGCGAATTGCCCCATCTTCACGTCCCGCCCCCTTACCATTGGCCATCCCTCCTCCTGCGTCAGCTGCTGCTGAGATCCATTGTCTGTAAGTCATTCTTTGCCGCAATCTTTTCTGGCACGCAACGCTAGGTTCTTTCTTCAGAATAATGTGAATGAGTTCCTTACGT